AGCCAGTTCCTCTCAGTTCTAAAATCGCTTGGTTATTTCACTATATAGTATGGAAATATTAACAAGTAAACTGAATCTGGTCAACTTCTGTCGCATCCCTGGAAGGGATACGGGATTCAACTCATCCAGGGTTAGTGATACCGACAGAAATGATCAAATCATACAGGCTTATGCGTCAATGCGTGGCTACCGACCCAACTGGACACGCCGTCGCCCCTAATACTCGGCCGTATTTCCCAAAATTGTAGCAGCGGGAATCAATGTGTCCATCCACACATGGTTTATAGCTGACAAATTGATTGGAATTGACATATCCCATCGGAAAATTTTGTTCCATCAATGTAGAATCAGGTACCTATTACATCGATATTCAGTTCGGCCCGTGAAACAAAAGTAACCAACTATCGACCCGTAACCCCAGCGATATCGAGGATCGTAAGGGGGCGATATTAGGCGCCCGAGGCTCAACCCAGTTTCCACCGATGACACACATGTCCAAGCTACTGGTCTCCAGTGATGACTAGATCGAAAGGGTGTAACAGGAATCTATGTAACCTCGGTAAGCTTCCGCGAGATGGCTCAAGTGGTTAGAGCGCGAATTTACTGACCGGAAGGTCCGTGGTTCGAACCCGACCTCTGCCTCCTGTCTAGGCTTGGGCGACCTGACAGTATCCCAGTCCTCTTGTTGCAGCTGGTTGATTAAAATTATTATTATTTAAAATGCTTAAATCTGGTCGTCCGTACATTTTGACCCCCGTGGTACTTTCAAGCATATGGCGTGCGTCCATCATCTTAAGGACAGACCGAAAAATTCGCTCGAGAACTACGCAAAACGCACTTCGGTACACAAATAGCCTTATTCTTCATCAAAGCTTTAGTCTCTATAATCATATCGCTATACTGTGGAAAGACGAGAAACTTTACCGGGGTAGACAATGATACCGGCGCACTCGACATATCCAAACGCAGTTATCGCCATGGGAATTAGGCTTACTGTAGGAAATCGAGTTGTGCAATGTTTGCAGAGAAGGAGACTTGAGTGCTCGTATATTGATGTGCGGAGGCTAACCGCTCTAAATAACTGATCAGCACGCCGATTGAACGGATGCGTCGCGAGCCTGATACGGAGCAAGGGCAGGCCCTGATTGACTGGAGTGTCAGCCAATCAGGATACAGCATTCATAGCCCGGTGGTACCGGCATGAGCTTGTGAAAGTTCCGGTGATAGCCATAAAAATACTATTGTAGTAATTTTCCTTTGTTTCCACGAAAGGCTGTCTCAAGCGAACGTGCCTTCTGATGAGGCATAGTGAGCGGAACAGGAGGCCGAGGACCGACATGGGAATCGCACGATCGTCTGCAGTGCGTGACAATATGTACAACCCCATATCATGGAAGAAACCCAAAGGGGCTTCTTCGTCGGGCACTTAGTAGATGAGAGATGAAAAAGTTCCACCAATTTTTAATCACATAAATTTGTCTTTACAGCTAACACGTCATCCAAGTTTGACAAACCATGATGCAGGACGATCACAAGCGGAACTCGACCTGTCTCAAAGAAAAGCAACCAAGCTGGGGAGCGTTACTGAAAACGTAGCGGACACAGGGGGACTAAAGACCTTCGGTGTAAGCTGTGGACAGTATCAGCGACCTAATTCATGCCTGTTCAAGGCTTAATGCGGCATTCTTGACCTTTCACACAACTCCACGACGTCACCATCTGAATCCGGCTGATCAGTTTAGCAACTCAGACGGTCGCAAAAGCTTTTCTTCTCTACGCATGTCCAGTTGGAATAGGAGTGCTCCTTGCTTTCATCAGCCTCATTCCCCGTTTTTTAAGCGCGATGTGACGACCGTTTCATTGAGATCCACTGGATCTGTAGTGGACTTTCCTGGCAAACGGAGAAAGTCTCTGAGTGATGAAAGAGCGCCCATGGTACAGAATGCCGTCGAGCAACTTCAGTCCCAGAGCACCATGGCATCTTCGTCAATAACTCAGGTGTCTCAGTTGACCGGCATTCCCCGCGCCAGTGTGTGTCGTATTATGAGAAACCACCTTCATCTCTACCCGTATCATTTCACTTTATTACAAAACGGAAGAAAACAAGGAGCAACGTGTCACGTTCGCTAACTGGCTGCTGGACAATGAAGAAATCGTTCTCAACATTTTATGGAGCGATGAAGCAAATTTTTCTGTGGATGGCATAATCAACAAGCACAATTGTGTGATATGGTCCCGTGAAGCTCCTCACGAGTACCTCACCCACAATCTTCATTCGCCTCATCTGTGTGTGGATGGGTTTCTCCTCAGTGTCTCCTGCGTCCTTTTTTTCTTTGATGCTACGGTTTCCGGCGACCTTATCTGCTGCAGACGCATGTTATCCCGCAACTCAAGCAGCACAAGAATTCATCGACCGTCCTTCAACAAGATGGCGCCCCACCCCACTACTCAAACCAAGTGAGAACTTACCTCCGAGAGCAATTTTCTGATGAGAGAGTCATGGCTCGTGGATTTCCACACTTTTGGCCCGCAAGGTCGCCCGATCTCGCACCTCTGAATTATTGGTTTTGGGAATGATCAAAGCTCGCGTATATCATGAAAATAAACCAAAGAATTTGGTGGAGTTAAGAGCAAGAATTGAAAAGGGGTGTGCATGAGTGAGGCTGGAAGAAGTTAAACATGCTGTGTCTCACATCTCATACTGCCTCCAACTTGTTATGGAAGAAAGAGGTGGTTCCTTTCAACATCTTTTGTAATGCTAGTTTGTTCACAGTAAACCTCCATGATACTTGTATGTCCACATAAAAAATGATAAATGTTTGAACTTAACATGGGTATTATTTTTTGCGTCTATTATGAGACACCCTGTAATTAATCACGCGGTAAAAAGTTCCTGTCCACAGCAAACGGGAAATCACATCAGTACGAGTGCATGGATAGATTTCCGTAGAATTCACTAAATTTTAATTTGTGCATCCAAAGAACGCTTTCTCTCTATAGAATTATGGAGTACACTAATTAACCCTCCACCTCACCAAGGTAGGCCATCGGGCGAAAAGGAACCTTTTCCCCTTCCCATGGAAAGCCAATATTCGAATAGCGAACCAAATCGCTCACCTCAACGATTGAGAACCCGCATCGCACAACTCACATATCGACTAGAGTTGTTCCATGACCCGGGTGAGACTGTCTGTTTTGTTAAAAATAGCTGATCAGGTTCGCGTCCTTTATTAAAGGCTAAAAACAATTTCGGCACCGGAACAATGTTTTTTTAGAAGCCCTCGTTCATGGTTGACGTACTGACAACCAAAGTCCACTAAATGAAAAGAGTAGATTTTCATAGAGGAAAATACTCACAAGGTTGCTGAAAATTCTTCGGAAGCCCACGACCCCTTTCGCCCCTCTTGTAGCTCATCAGGTAGGCGCAGTCCCCGAGTTTCCGTCAACTTTATATTCTACTTGAACCCAAATTGCACTGTTTTCGAGAAATACACTCATTTACAAATCAATTTGGCTTTCACGAGAGACTCAATCTTATAGTGACCTCATCTTTCGTGGAATTAGATGGTGTGATTTGTTGGACGAGAGATTCAGTAGGGTCTCTCGTGAGAACCAAATTGATTTGCAAATGAGTGTATCTCTCGAAAACAGTAAACGTTGGTGTGGTGGAGAACATGGGGTCTACCTGGGCACCTGCAACCCTGTTGACTGCGGCTTTTTTCTGTGCGAAAATTTAGAAAGATCCTTGAAAGGATCAAAGACGTTTGCCCGAAGATCAAGGAAGATGCGACGTCAAAGACCACCCGCTGTTGGTTTCACCTCACCCTCAAAATCCTAGTTTTCCGATGACATAAAAAATTGGAGGGTGATCGCCTCGCCAGAAGTCGAGCTTACAACCCGGACAGGTGATGACATAAGTGTTCGGAGTCAGTGTTGGCTTCAAGGCACAAAGTACACTCGTACGCGATCCAGGTACTCACGTGCACCCACCCAGGTTAAGTACACTGCGTAAGGAAATATGACAGATTATCAGAATCTTATCAACAACTTCATTGTCGTTTAACACTGGATGCCTTGGTCAGCAAACGAAACTGGTACACGGGCCCAGTATAGTAGATCTCCAAAAGAATTGCAAGCTTAAAGTATGCCTACCTAGGAATGTTCCCCCATACGTCTTGCCCTCAGTTCACATTCTAAACATGTATATCCCCATAAGATATGAAACCACAACTATTTGCTCGCCTGGGGGATCATGGAGACGGTTGTAAACCTCTGGAGAGAGTGAGAATATGCAGTGCAATCTGACGAGTATCCCTCCAAGAGAGTCACTCTTTGAGGGGTGAGATTGCTGTGACCTTCTGAGAAGAGGGATCTGTTTAATACAGTTGAACGTACCCTTAGAATCAAGCAAGCGCTTTGCGCGCGGTCGTACAACGCTGGGAAACCACGACAAAACTTACAGGCTCAGAGAACAATTTAACCATTTGACATTCTTCTTCACATCGAAACTTATGATCGGCACTCCCATCAAAAGTACCCTACAGAGACTGAATCACTGCAGACTTTCAGTGGTTAGAGCGCGAATTTACTGACCAGAAGGTTCGTGGTTCGAACCCGACCCGCTCTACCTCCCCTGTCAAGGCCAGGGCAACCTGGCAGTATCCTAGCTCTCGTGCTTCCTTCGGGTGGCATGGCAGTTAGGCACCGAAAGGGTGCTACAGCTGAACGATTTTTTTCACAAAGCAGGAGGTCGAAAGGAGAATGATCAGAACTTATCTGTGTACGAACAGGGGTTGTATTATCATGCCCCACTAGTGATAGTGAGATGCAATAGCCCCCTCAACCATAGGCTGAGTTGCCACAGAATTGCTTGTCTAACCAGAAAACAAGTGCGGGTGTTCCCGCAGGAAACGATTCACCTATTCCAAATTGAATCAAATTCAAATTCTGCCCGTACAGGCAACAAAAGTTCTCGAAAATTCTTGATTAAACATCGGAATCGCGCATCAAATTGCTTTGTCAAACCACTTTCAGTGGAATGGATGGAACGGAGAAGACGGAACAAAACAGGACCGTATGTATTGCAGAGCATACACGGGATTCAATCACAGTGACGACCAGCAATTCCTCTGCTTTTCGGAATCAAAAGGACTGGTGGGAAGGGTGAGAGATGCGTGTACACGTCGTGTAAGGCTTAGAAAGAGATGAGCACCTTTCAGGTAAAGAAGACAGCAAGGAATGTCGCAAGTGCCACGGAGGTCGGACATCAGTTGGACCAAACAAGCATATCACATCACCTCGGAAGCAGATGCGCTTGATGTATAATACATACAATGGAGCACAGAGGGAATAAAACGTGGAGAATATACCTATGTCATCAAACATGAAGTGGGACATTGCGGGGGAACAGTTCATCATAAATGCGAGCGACCACTACCGTTTGGACTCTCCAATGAAACTGCACACAGAGGGAAAAAAGAGATCATCAGAGACGTTTCAGTGCTTTTTTCGCGGCGGAAATATGCCGCTGAGCAGCTTTTTGAGTTGTCGGTTTCTTTGGAGACGGACCGTTGGTATCTCGTAAGCTGTTGGACAAAATGAACAACAAGAAAACAGTTGTGGGGAAGGTGCAAACCAAACGAAAGCAAAAACAAAACTTAGAAAACTGGCGACGGGGCCGCCTGAGGGTCTGAAAAAGATCAATGGGGAGCCCATCCTGTCGGAACAACGGAAGATTGCAATAATTCGGCTAGCAAAAGTAGGTTATACTACAGGACACTGGGGCCTGGCCACCTCAGGGAGCCCATCCTGCCGGAAAAACGGAAGATTGCAATACCTTGGCTAGCAGACGTAGGTTATACTATAGGACACTGGGGCCTGGCCACCTGTATCAGAGAACCATACAGGCATGTTGCGTGGACTGACCACTGAGTAGGTGGTAATGGAACACTCTCGTGAGGGCAGAAAATAGGCGTGCCAATTTAATAAATAAAAAATAATTGTTCAGCTGTAACACCCTTTCGGTTCCTAGCTGCCATGCCACCCGAAGGAAGCACGAGGGCTGAAATACTTCCAGGTTACCCAAGACTTGACAGATCGAGATGCAGAGGTCGGGTTCGAATTACGGACCTTCCGGTCAGTAAATTCACGTTCTTACCACTGAACCATCTCGCCCGGCAATATGGTGGGTTAATATGCATTCCTGGTGACATGAGTGAGGTGGTTCAATAACTCCATTGTCATGAACCCACTGAAACTGGGAATAGCAAGCTCACGATAAGGAACACCACACTCGGTGGACGAACAGTGTGTTGTTGGTCACAGGTCTTCAGAATATTCTAACTTACTTTCTTATGACTTGAATATGCTGGAGGATAAGCGGGAGGATTATGTACTTTAGCCGCTCGTGACTGACAACATGCAACAAGATCTGACCACGGAACGAAATTCGCCTATAAACGTGCTGTTGAGATCGCTGTGTCATTCTCATTAGTCGGGCTCACATTTAACCAGCGGGCTCAAGTACGATAGGTTCATGACACTCATAACTCATAGCATTCCCGGATCATCAAACTATTCCGTTGTTCGTATGATGCGCGGAATTCTTTGGGAGAGCCAAAGTGCTATTCTCGGTTATTCCTGTCCTTTCCAATTCGATACGCGATAAAACCAAACGGAATTACTGACTCGTCTGTGGCCAACACGAGGGTAGGAATGAGTCGGAAATAAGAGCACTTTCCTCCGTCAATCGAACAGCCCTCCTTGAAAATACAACCTCCCTCTAGTACACATTACATGAATCCGAAAGCTACGACACGTACAGATTCGATATTGACCGCAGATTGGTCGCTAGCTGGGGGGAGCAGGGTTAAAAATTGGGCTATCTGGAAAACAGACAAAGCAGTTGGTTGGTGGTAAGGGGCAGTAGGATCACTCACCAGTTAGTTATTCAGCTTATCCCGCAAGATTAGCTTTCGTCAGGGCAATGCCTGCACAAATCAGCTACCAGTGAACGTGTTCAGTGGTACGTACGTGGGAGGGAGAGCAGGTTCCTAACACTTCACTTTGAACATGGTTCGTATGCTCAGGTGTGTTTGTTTGCTACGCTGTACACTTTGGTCGCAACAGGCAAATTAACCATATTCCTCAAATTTGAACACGTTCATATGTTTAGGTGGGATTATTCAGTTCCATTCAGCTGTGCTGTTAGTCTCACATGTCAGGAGTTGAAATCCTGGCACCGCCAAGGCTGTGCACCACTGATGAGCTCTAATAAGAGCAGAATTCGAGTCAACTGCCACTCCCTTTGGTGTGGACTCGCTAGAATAACTTCGCCTGGACGGGACTGCTCGAAAGAGTTCGATGTGAACGCGTATTCTGTTTTCCTTCCAAACATTCCAGAATAGAGCTGTTAAGCTGCTTACCAGGGTGCAGACTGGGCCGAGAGTTTTGCCGCCTTGGATATCTCGCACTGGATTTCTGTTGCTGGTGGAGGGCTAGTATCGATAGTTCATTCTGGCTCGTTGAGTTCCCTCAGAAGTTGTTTGGAGAAAGGTCAACTGAAATGTTCTTTGAAGTGATGGGCCAATAGCGCAAGGCGATTATTCTTTGAATAAATCCTTGTTTCATCTTTTATCGCTAGCTTACCTCCCTTCTACCCCCCACCCACTTAACAGTCCACCTACAGTGCTGTATTCACGCGCTAATTTATCAGCGCCCGCCTCCAATGCGCAGCTACCTACCCCACCTCCCCGAATCATCGGTGAACGAAACTGTGGCAGCTACAAACACTGTACGACAAGTACACTGTTATTACAGTCGACAAGGGTGATGATGTTCGTGGTGAGCGACAGTACGGGGCATCCGATAAAGCCAACTCACCTCTATTCCAAGAGGCAGTCACCCACGCGTCGAAATTCGCTAGTCAGACAACTGTTCCGATAACTTTCACGAGAGCCTGATAAGTGGCAAGCAATGTGCTCAGAGTTTTACCAGTAACGTGGTCGGTCCCAAGGAGCTAACAGCTGGAAAATGGGATAGATTGCCTTTTTCAGAGGAGAGAGTCATGCACTAGGTTGCAGAAATTCCTTCAGCTGTGGCACCCTTCCAATGCCTAGCTGCTGTGCCCCCCGAAGGTTGCACGAGGGCCGCGATACTGCCAGGTTGCACAAGCCTAGACAGGGGAAGTCGAGAGGCAGAGGTCGGGAAGCACGATGTCCAGCTGTCAGTCTAGAAGACAGAAAGGTCGGAGTTCGAACAGCCGTCATCGCTATCAACTGTAAGAATCGCGTACTTGTCATACAGTGATTGTAGCTGCCACAGTTTTGTCCACCGATGATTTGGGGAGGTGGGGTAGACAGCTGCGCATTGAAGGCGGGAGCTGATAAATTGGTGCGTGAATACAAGTCTGTCGTGGAGAACTGGGAAGGGAGATCAGCATTGAAGGCAGTAGCTTGGATTCACAAGTGCCATTAAGGGCGCAACTGGGCCATGTCTGACAATGTCTCTAAGCATTGTGTGGTTCGTCACCGGGTCCCCAACTAGGGAGACGGCAATGACCAGAGCAGCAGAGTTTACTGGTAATGACCTTCACACTTCGCTGACAAGTCATTCTTTGACTAACCCTGGTTCGTTTCCACCCTTCACGTGGTTCTGCATACGGAGCAAGTAGCCAAGACAACGCAACCTATGTAATGTGATCAGTTCATTTACTGTGAGCGAGTCGTTTCTTCTGAATACCAGTCGACGTAATTCAGCATTGCCAATCCAGTAGCTCGCGTATTAACTAACTAAATGAAAATGAAACTTACATTCCATTCTGCTCCCCTGTATTTGTTGACTGTTTTGGATGGACCGCAGGCGCGCCTTCATCTAGCATTTGCTGTGAAGACGGGTTGAGTCCCCGAAGGTGATGACAAGCGTGTATTTCGGTATAAAGACGAGCTTGGGCCACATATTCCGCATAGTCCTCTTGTAAAAGCTTTCCAGCCTCCTCATTTAATGCAGATTCCGGATTGGGGTCCAACAGAAGGCATCGAATAACCTGTGAGGAGAGAGTTTTGTCCTTTACGGGATCTTTTTTCCAACTCTTACCAACAATATATGTTTCAGGCCCAGTTCCGACTTCCAATCGCGCTTCAAAGTATCGACACAAATCTCCCCAGTGACCGGCGCCACATTCGGATGAAAGATCTTCGTGTAAAAGTAGCCCTTTGGTGGTTCGATTGGATATCTTTCGGAGAGGACAAGTTTGACCCCAAATTTGCCGCCTTCATATGGTGTGTCTGCAGGACCATCGATAATGGCCTGAAAAATATCAAGGTATGTAGAGCAGGGTCTAATCGGACCGGAGGGAACGCACCTGAATGTCGGTAAGGTCTTGCTCATTGACTACCAGTTTGATCCCGTCGAGTGTATCGTCCAGAACCTCACGTATCTCCTTGCTGATGCGTCTTACAACGTGAGGATAGATATTCTCCATTGGTAGGATACTACCTGAAACAGATAAGAGAAACGTGGCTATCACGAGAAAAACGGACGAAGGCAATACCAGTGGACAGTACCGGAAGAAAATTGTAGCTATGACACCAGTGCATCAGTACTGCATAATTGTAGCTACAGTTGAAAATCTCAGTGGAGATTTTTTGTATACAAAAAAGCTGAGGAGCATTTTACAGCAATTTCATCCTTACTGGGAATCTTCAGAGAGATTTGAACTCAAATCCCCAGCCAGTAGCTGGAGGCGCGCCTTCGTCGATATCTTCGGAGCACTGCCCGAATCTGGTGGGAACACCGGATCAGCAATTTTGAAGTACGTCGAATGGTATTCGGGAGAAATAACTCACTCTCGATAGATGAACTGATCACACTGCACAGGTTGCGCTGGCTTGGCCACGTGTTGCGTATGCCAGTCGACCGACTTCCTCGAAGGGCTCTTTTCGCCCAACCATGTGAAGGGTGGAAGAGAGCCAGAGGCGGTCGAACAATGACTTGGCAGCGAAGTATGAAAGCCATTACTAGCAAACTCAGCTGCGCTGGTCACTGCCGTCTTCCTGGATGGGGACCCCGAGACAGGCCACATCAATGGTTAGAGACATTATCAGACGTGGCCAAGTCGCGCCCTTAACGGCACTCGTGCATCCAAGCTACTACTTTGAATGCGTAGCTCCTTTTCCAACCCCGCCCCACTTGACAGTGCTGGATTTATGCACCAATTTATCATCTCCCACCTGCAATGCGCAGCTACCCACCTCCCCCCAAATCATCGGTGAACGAAACTGGGGCAGCTACAACCACTGTACGACGAGTACGCGGTTAGTACAGTTGACAATGATGATGATGATGATGATGATGATGATGACGTGTTGTCTGTTTCCTCGAGTGATGACTTCCCAGGCGGACCGTTCACTCATTGAGTGAGTTACTCTTCGCCTTGAGTGACTTATCTGGTGTCTGACCACTAGACACCAGCGTACAATCGAAAGTACACCTGAAAACAAAGTGTGACACATGGGTAGCCTATTTATTGCACAACATACTGCTTGTATGGGGGCGAGATGGCTCAGGTAGTTAGAGCGCGAATTTCCTGACCGAAAGGTCCATGATTCTAACCCGATCTCGACTCCCCCTGCCTAGGCTTGGTCGGCTCGACGGCCCTCGTGCTTCCCTCGGGTTGCATGGCAGCTGGTCACCGAAAGGATGTCACAGCTGAACAGTTATACTGATTGTATGGACTGAGATGGGATTTAAAAAGACCCCTAGACGAAACCTTCAAGTTGAAAGACAATAGTAACAATAATAATAAGCGGCCACTCTTTTGGTACGTGACCGCTATGCCATCCAGGGAAAGGAACAATGACCGATATACTTCGCGGTTGCCCAAACTTGGACAGAAGCAGGCAAAATGCCGGGGCTGGGTTCGAACCAAAGACCTTCTGGTCAGTAAATTCGCACCTTATAACCACTGCGCTATATTGAGCTCCAGGCTGAATTCGAATCGAAAGTTTAATTGATCAGCAGTGGCGGCCTTTCACTCCACAGCTGTCATGCAACTCGAAAGAAGACGGAGTGATAGATACTCATAGGTTACCCAAGCCTGACAACAGAAGAGTTCGAACAAAGAGACTTCCGTTCAGTGGTCTCGTGAGCTAACTACAAACATATCTCGAGCTCCGCAAATTGATCCACACTTTTCAGATTGCTCTCCACCAACAGAATGAACTTCACCGCTTTGTGTGCTTCCCTGACCCACTTAGCTTTACCGGGGAGTGTAAATGTGGCACTCAGTCTCTCACGCCAGGTTGGTAAATGGTTATAGCTCTGACCAACATAGTCGCCTGATTCTCCAGGTCAGTGGTTGGAACATATGGGGCAACTTTCTCCCTAAATATGTAGACTGATCTGGTGGGCTTACACCAACCACTGCTGCCTTGCGGTCAGACTTTTAAGCCAAAAAAGTTGCTTGAAAGCCCTAATCGTCCTCCTTTCTAAATTTGGGCGCTCTGACAGTATCCCAATACACGTACAATCATGAACTGCACACTTACAAATAATCACAAGCTACATCGACCGTCGCCTGATACCTCAGCCGGGTCGCTGATGCTCTGCACACAGCAGGGCAGGTAAGCGAAAACAGGCAACTATTGACGCCCTCCCTTCTCTTTCATAAACTTTTCCCCCCTTTCGCCCACCCAATCATTTACACTTTCCTTGCGAGTCTATCCCTTAGGATTGACGACTCCGTTCGCTTTGTATCGGTCTTGGATGCAACATCTGCGGCTCGGGCAGTGCCAATAACCTGACATTTCGAAATTTATCTACAAGCCTCGACGCCCGGTTTATCCGGTCGCCCTTGACAGTTGCGCTCGGAAGAAAGCAGAACAATAAGCTGCTCTTCATCTCACACTGGGCTTACTTGCCATTGATAAGTGCTGCGTATCAGAAACTAGAATTCAAGATGCAAGTGCGGTGGTTGAACTAATTGCCTCTACACCCGCTTCTGGCTGGCCACCTCTAGCAATCAAAAGGCCACTGCAGCAGGATGTATAAAACCGCTCAGCTGTAGCACTCTTCCAGTGCCTAGCTGCCATGCCACCCGAAGGAAGCACGAGGACTGGGATACTGCCAGGTTGCCAAAGCCTAGACAGTGGAAGTCGAGAGGCAGAGGTTGGGTTCGAACCACGGACCTTCCAGTCAGTAAATTCGCGCTTTAACCATCATGTATGGGGGTTGGCGAAAAGATCCATGCCTAGCTAGATACCCGTTGATAGTCGCCTCTGTGTGGTTAATCCGGCAGCGGCTGTGAGGTATTCTTCCAACTGGGAAGTTGATCATTGTCTATTTCACATGTGTACTTACGCCCCAAACGACTGTAGCCCCAACACCACCAGCCCTCGTGCTTCCTTCTGGTGGCATGGCAGTTACGCACCAAAATGGTACTACAGACGAATGATTTCTTTCCACCAAGGACAATTTTTAAGAGGCCTCGAGTACCTGATTGCGACAGCCTGGAAATTCGGATGCACACCTGAGCAAACTTAGCACATTAGAGAATTGATTGGGTGGTCGACTTGGTTTAGACTCGATAAATACGGACAATGGCTCACGACTCTTGAGCTGCGTGCAGGCTGTTTTTCATCATCATCATCATTGTCAGCTGTAAGAACCGCGTACTGGTCGTACACTGGTTGTAGCTGCCACAGTTTCGTTCACCGATGATTGGGG